GATAGATAGATAGATAGATAGATGATAGATAGATGTTGATAGATGATAGAAACATAGACAGATAGATGTTGATAGATCATAAATAGATTGATGATAGATAGATGTTGATAGTTGATAGATATTTGATAGATAGATATTGACAGATGATAGATGTTAATAAGTGATAGATGATAGATAGATAGATAGATAGATAGATAGATAGATAGATAGATAGATAGATAATTGATAGATGATAGGTAGATGTTGATAGATGATAGATGATAGATAGATAGATGATAGATAGATAGATAGATAGATAGATAGATAGATAGATAGATAGATGATATAGAGATAGATGATAGATGACAGATAGATGATAGACAATAGATAGATTAGATAGACAAATGTATGACATGAGAGCAGAGGGAGACTACAAGGCATGAGGAAGAGATATGGAAGAAGGAAGGAAGAGGAATGAGAAAGGGTAATGGGGAACAAAAGATAAAATATCATGTTTTCTTTCATATGTAGAATCTAGATTCAACTATATAACTACACGTATGTGTGGCATGAAAGCACAGAGGGAGTCCAGTTGAAGGGATAAAGGCGGTAACAAAGCAAGGCTGAAGGACAGTAGATGGTAGGGGCATACCAATGAGAATAAGGTATCATGACATATATGTATAAATGTCATAATGAAGCCAATTATTTTGTATGTTAAATAAAAGAAATTAATACAGAAAAGAAACTGAGGCACAGAGGAGATAGACAACTTGCCCAAAGTCCCAGAACTAAAAGATAGAAAAACTAAGTTTGAACATTTTTGTAATCAGTGTTACAAATAGGAAAAAAATGAAGTGTGGTATGCTACAGATGAAGCTCTCTGAGCCAGAGTGGTAAAGACTGAAGTGGAAAGAAAAATCTTTAGTTATTAATGCTGTCTGAATAGGCAGTTTTGGATGGGAGCCTAAATAATAAGAAAAAGATCTGAAGGTGTACTGTAAGGGATTAGTCAACATAAAGAGCAGGCTCTTCATTTGCATAGTTCTAAAAAGGCTTTCACAGGAAGATGAAATTAAATTGATGTAAATGTCTGGAAAGGCTAAAACTAAGGTCACTATGTAAATGGTACAAAGAGACAGAATCTGGGTCCAAAACCATAACAGGTTGAACTGTTTGCAGATGGAGATTCCTGTAGGAGCCGGATGACCTCACAGCGGGTGTGCAGTAAAAGAGATTCCCATCCTAAACAGTGTTGACACAAGGGGCATGTTGATCCTGTCCACATGTGAGAATCATGTATATCTTATCTTCACAGGAATCCCCAAATGTAAACCAGAATTAATCTGAAACAGAAGTAGAAAAACAACACTCAGTTCCATAAAATTCAGACTCAAGATTTTTTAATAACAAGCTCTATACATAGGCATAGAATTACAATTTTAACTTCCAACACAAAGAAAAAGACTTTGCCCTTCAGTCCTGGGTTGTCGTTTTTACTTTTGATTCTCATCTCCAGACCAACTAATAGTTCATACAGAATCCATGGCCAAGAATAACCTCACCACAGTAACCGAGTTCATTCTCATGGGCTTTACTGACCATCCGAGCTGGAAGATCCCCCTCTTCCTTGTGTTTCTCAGCTTCTATCTTGTCACCACTCTGGGGAACTTGGGCATGATCATTCTCATCCAGGTGGATGTCCAACTCCACACCCCAATGTACTTCTTCCTGAGCCACCTCTCTGTCTTGGATGCCTGCTACACTTAGGTCATCACCCCTCAGATCCTGGCCACACTGGCCACAGGCAAAACAGTCATTTCCTATGGTCAGTGTGCCACCCAGTTCTTCTTCTTCACCATCTGTGCAGGTACAGAGTGTTTCCTGCTGGCTGCGATGGCCTATGATCGCTATGTTGCTATTAGCAAACCCCTGCTCTACACAGTGGTCATGAGTCCTAGAAGGTGCTGGAGTTTAGTGGTTGGAGCCTATGTCTGTGGGGTGTCTGGGGCCATCCTGCGAACCACATGCACCTTCTCCCTCTCCTTCTGTGAGGACAGTAGGATCAACTTCTTCTTCTGTGACCTCCCACCCCTGCTGAAGCTGGCCTGCAGTGACACAGAAAATGCTGAGATTATCATTGTCTTCTTTGGCAACTTTGTCATCTTGGCCAATGCCTTGGTCATCCTGATTTCCTACCTGCTCATCATCAGGGCTATTTTGAGAATGAACTCTTCAGGTGGTAGAGCCAAGACATTCTCAACATGTGCCTCCCATCTCACTGCTGTGGCCCTTTTCTTTGGGACTCTCATCTTCATGTACATACGGAGTGGCTCAGGCAAATCTCTGGAAGAAGACAAAGTTGTGTCTGTCTTCTACACTGTGGTTATTCCCATGCTGAACCCTCTGATCTACAGCCTGAGAAATAAGGATGTGAAGGCTGCCTTCAGAAAGGTCACTAATAGATACCAGGTATTCCACAGCATGCGGCACTGAGTGAGAAGACCTCTCATCTTAGTCAAGTGATAGCCTACACACTATCCTAGGATGTCCTAATAGTGATATCCTAATGGACACCAGCACTGTATACATCCTGTACTTGTAAACAGAGAGAAGGCAGATAAGTGCCACCAAGCAAGGAGAAGTATGAACATGGTGAACTCTGTATCCAGAAATTCTTCAGTACTTTCTTCTCATCTCATCCCTCACTTCATCCCCAGGCACTCAATTATCTCTTGCTGCTCTCTGATCCCTTAGAGAATCTAAGCTCTTAGGGATTTTGAGCTGTATCACCTGACCCTGATTCTTAGTATCTTTTCCCTCTTGCTTTTGCTGCTATCAACACTAGTATGTTTTTTATGCCAAAGAATTCATCTGAGGGAGCTTGACAGACGGCTCAGCAGTTAAGAGCACTGGCTGCTCTTGCAGACCTGGATTTGACTCCCAGCACCTGCATGGTGGCTAACAACCATTCATAACTCCAGTTCCGGGGAATTCAATGCCCTCTTCTGGCCTTCATGGGCATTGCAGGACATGGGTGCAAAAACATGCAGGCAAAACACTCACACACATAAATAATAAATAAATAAATAAATAAATAAATAAATAAATAAATAATGTTTTTTAAAAATAATTCATCTGAGGATCCCTTGAATTGGACTAACTGGTCCTTTTGTTTGTTTATTTGCCTTTTAATATATGTCACCTAAAATTTCAGGAAGTATTGTATACATACAGGTCTCTCCCTTCATCATTACAGTGTCTTCCTTCTTACTCAGGCCAGAATAAGAAACTCGTAAATGCCACACCACCTAATAACTCACTGCTATGGTTTGAATGAGAATGCCCCCCATAGGCTCCATTTTGTCCCCAGTTGGTGGTGCTGTTTGGGGAGGTGTTAGAAAGTGTAGCCTTCCTGGAGGAAGCTTATTACTGGGGGTGGGCTTAGAGAGTTCTTAAACCTCGCCAGATTTTGAGTCACTCTGAGCCATCCTGTGCCTGCTGGAAGATGTGAGACCTTAGTTTCTGCTCCTGCTCCAGCCACCTCTGCTGCCATGCCTCCCACCATGATGGACTCTTGCCCCTTTGGTACTGTAAGCTAAATAAACTCTTCCTTTTATAAGTTCCCTTGGTCACAGGAACAGAAAGATAACTAAGACACTCACTATCTTTCTGGTTCCATCTTTCATGTTAAACTGATATCTTTGAGAACTATGCCACCTTAGTTGTGTGAAGGCCTCCATAGGGGCCCAGTGTAACTTTTGAAGGACAACCAGCATCATGCATCTCCTAACCCTATTGCCTACTGTATGAAAAATTCTCACGAAGCACCTTGTGTCAGGCATAGCCATTTTAGTGAGCTGAGAGACACAGACACCAACCACATATTTCCTTCTGTAGCAAAGATTTGCTACAAGTAATTGGAACTTCTCCACCAGACTGAGATGCTCTTCAGAGCAGAGTATTCATTCCCTCCTTTTCTAAATCCAAAGTTCAGATTCGTTTGTTTCAGGAAAGATGAGGCAAGATACTGGGAAGGTTCAGGAAGCAGGTTTTATTTAGGCTGCAACCTGGTCCAGAGGGCTTAAGTCTCAAAGTCTGGACTCCTAAGAGTGGAAGTTCTTATATTTTATACCTTGGATAGTAGGTTACAGCATAGGCAAACTACATCTTGGCTGATTAACAGCAAAACATTATAAAAAGCAGATAGTTTGTCTAAGAAGTTTGGCTCTAGCTAGTTGTGTCCATGCTCTGACCACAAACCTGTCAGTTGTACTTTGCTGACAGAGACGAAGAGGGAGAAAAGATTAAAATCCTTGTGTTCCTTGCATTTTCCTTTGAGTTTTCCATTTTCCCATCAGGCTCTGCATTAAGATGAGCACTCAGTAACTGCTTTTGAAGGAACTGTTGAATGACATGTGTGGTCCCATTTGTATTTCATGGTAACACTACCAAACAAATTATGAAGACATGGTTAATATAAAGTTTCCAGCCGGGCCTGGTGGCTCACACCTGTAGTCCCAGCACTTGGGAGGCAGAGGCAGGTGGATCTCTGTGAGTTCAAGGCCAGTCTGGCGTGGTGGCACACGCCTTTAGTCCCAGCACTTGGGAGGCAGAGGCAGGCAGATCTCTGTGAATTCAAGGCCAGCCTTGTCTACATAGTGAGTTCTAGGACAGCTGGGGCTACAGGGAGACCCTGCCTCAAAAAGACAAAAATAAATAAATAAATAAAGTTTCCATTTTGCAATTAAAACATTCCTCATGGCTCAAAAAATGCAGTGTTGACACAGCAGTTGATAAGGCATAGAGTGCGGTTTAACTCTAAATCCTGCTTTACCACTAATTCATTGTGAGGCTTTGGGTAAATGATTTAATTTCTTAGATCTAAAACAAGTACAATAATTCTTAATTCTAGATAGGTTTTTATTTATTCTTTGAGAATTTATATACTTGTACACAGTGTATTTTGATCATTTTCACCCCCATTCCTCCCTCCAACTCCCCAAGGCTGCCCCAAGACAGTTTTTTAATTGAGGGGCTGGAGAGATGGCTTAGTGGTTAAAAGCAATGGCTACTCTTGCAGAGGACCCAGGTTTGATTTCCAGCACTGCCCCCATGGCAGCTAACACCATCTATAATTCCACTTCCAGAGGATTTGACACCCTCTTCTGACCATCCCATGCATTGCACCATACAGGTGCACTTACATACATGCAGGCAATATACTCACACACATTAAAAAAAAAAAAAATTAGACTATAATTTTCTTTCTCTGGGCTCCCTTTTGTCCCCCTACAGACATCAGGATTTGTTTCTGGAGCCAAGCCAATAAAGCCAGAATTAAGGCTATGGCCCTATTTAAAAATAATAATACTACTACTAATAATAATAATAAGTAAAATATTTTTAAATAAATTGAATAAAATGATTAATAAGAAATCTGGCTTAAATCAAGTGTCAGTATAAATCACTCTCTCTCTCTCTCTCTCCCATTCCCTCACTTTCTGATGTCAGCCGTGGACCCTTGCTACAATTCCACAGCCACTGACAAGGTGAAAATGACTGGACAATGAAGTCAAAGGCAAAGGAAGATGAATTAAGCATTCCTTATGTGAAGACATTTTTAAATTCTGTACATTTAGCTGGGGAAGTGAATTTATTCACATCTCTCATAGTCAGGGGTAACTAAAGAATGTCTTTTTCATTGAATGTTGTCTTTTTGAGCTCAGTGAACCCCATACTATGTCTTCATTTTCTTTAAAGAAAATTATTTTTGTCCCTCCACATAAAAATAACCATTTCATTAAAATTTCGCCACACATTCTGCAGCTGAGTGATTTGGTAATAAATGCCAGACCTGTATTAGGCTAATAAAACTGCTGAGTCATCTCTCCAGCCCCTTAAAGTAGTCTTTTTATTTCAAAATTTAGTGCCCTGTGGGACAGCACACTTATCCCAGAGAATACTCTGAAAGGTAGGTGGTTAAACTGAAGACTGTACATACAAATTAGAGAGGAAACTCATATACAGCTTACTGATAGCTAAAGTTAGCTTCGTAATGAGGCTCTAACTGGTTCAAGAAGGAATCAGAATCCTTGAACAAACCAAACCAACAAGTAAAACCAACCTGATCAAACCCACAGGAGCTGCATGGTTCCAGTCTCTTCCTCCTGACTGCAGCCTCTCTTTACCACCATTCGAATCATCCCACAGAGCCTCCAGGGACCAACTGAGAAGTTGTGTCATCTTAAGGGAGGTACGTAACCACTCTGAGTCTGCTGCTGCTGCTGCTGGAACATGTCAAGATAGAACTAAATTCTCTCCCCATTTCTCTCCAGCACTGAAGAAAGTGGCATGAAGCTGGCCATGCTCACTCCCTGAAGAGCACACAGTGGAGCATGGGAAATAATGTCACTCATGGTTTACCACCACCCATTACTTGTTAGCTTAGATGAAAAGTGAAGACATAATACCCCTGCAATCAGCACTAACCAAAGTGAGCCGGGCTCACCCAGAAAGGGGGCATTCTGTCTCCCTCATTGATTTGATTTTGCAATGTCTTGGTTTACACCTACTAAAAGCATAAATCTTGAAGGACAATTGTATAGAAATAGAGTCTCTTCCTTCCATTATTTTACACAAACATCATCTTGCATGAGATCTGCAAGATGATAAAGCTGCCAAAGAATTCAACTGCATCAGAATATTCCCTGATGCCAAAACAAGATGGTCCTTTATTGTGTCGTTTGGGAAAGAAGATAAAACAGTTGGTCCATGTGGAGGACCTCGTTGAGTGGCTATTCCCTCCAATTTGAAACTTTCCCTCCTAGTGGGAGGCTCAGAAGTTTCAGTAAGCTAATAACACTTATAAGGCACAGAAAGGTCACTAAATGTACAAGTCTCAGAAAGCCCAGAAAGTTACAAGTCTCACAAAGCCCTGCCCCAAGAATATATAACAATTGTTGGGGAAGAAGAGACTCTCTCCAGCAGAGCTTCCTGCAACTTGGGCAGGGTGTGTCAAGGATTCATGGGCGGATTTTTCAGCGCTGCAGCTGCCTTTGAGCGACCCATGCTCCCGTAACACCAGTAAATCTACTGATTCACCAAGCTAGACATGGGTGGAAATGTTTCTTTGGTGCCATATACAGGGTGACTAGATGATTGTTCATATACCCATTAAAAGTCAGACAACAGACCTGCATAGTTATAGGTTCTGAATGTCACCCAACAACATTGGCTATAACTGGGCAGAGTCTGGGCTTGCTAACTCCTGGTTTCTAGCACATGCATAAAATTAAAATTATAATTAAAATAAAATTAGCTAATTGTTTTTTCTATGAGTTTCAGATACCAAGAGTACCAATCTCTATGGACAAGTTCAAAACACAGGAGGAAATATTGGCAATGCACACAGACGTTCCTCTCAAGAGCATAAAAATCAGCTCTTTCTCTACAGGATAATGTAAATCTTGCAACTGTATTGTGTTGGAAGATTT